ATGTGTGTGTGTGTGTGTGTGTGTGTGTGTGTGCGTGTGCGTGTGCGTGTGCGTGTGCGTGTGTGTTTGCATGTGTGGCTGCTAACAAAACACACATCTTATTTCTTCTGCTCCTTGCGGAGTCGAGGGCCTCACCAGAGCCCTACAAACGGCAATGATGGATAAAATGTTTTCAACAACACTTGAGAAGAGTGGATGCTATTGTGTCCGCGTGTATACTGAAACACAGAATCACAAAACTCCCAGGACGCCGCATGCTCTATTTATGTGTTATGAAAAACATGACTCAAAAGGAAAAACGGAAAACAGCCATGCTCTACTTTCACCGTCAGCCATCATGTGAAGTGTGAAGAGGAGGAAGAGGATGAGATGCAGACGGGGAGAGGAGAGTAGAGGAGAGTGATTTTCTTCATCCACAGATTCTATCCTGAAGGTGACAGGGGACTGGGCTCTCAGGAACGTCCCCCACCTTCTCTCCCCCCCTCCCCTCTGATGCCTGTCACTGCTCCTCTCCTTCCCTCCCTCCCTTCTCCTGACTGGAGGAGTGTGTGAAGTGTCCCCCGAGAGGCACAGACTCAAAGACGGTATTTACAAGATCCACACTGAGCCCACTTTTAACTGCCTGTGAAGAACTTCTCCCGCCGCCTTTGATGTGCAAACCTAATGGGGAAGAGCTCGCCGGCAGTCATTGCATATGTTAGCGAGGCAACGTGAGCTAATCCGCTAGCATTGCAAGGTAGACTTCATGCTGCTTGTAGTGAGTGAACACTTCAAATGCTGTATATAGCTTTGGTGCATTGCTGCCCTTGGAAAAGTCCCTATTGATGGAATGCATCAACTCTTACAGCTATTTAGTGGCAGCAGCAGCTCCAGGCGAGCACTTTGCTTATTTCACGGTGGACTTAGCATATTCATGAGTGGGTATAGGAGCCTCTTAATGTGATCATCAAGACTATAGTTAAGACTAGAGGTGGAAGAAACACTCAGATCCTTTACTTAGGTGAAAATAAAAGTCTTAAAATACTCCATTGCAAGTCCTGTATGCGGAATGTTACCTAAGGAAATTTACAGAATGGTTATTAAGTAAATATACTCAAAGTATCAAAAGTAATAGTTCTTTGTATGCAGAATGGCTATTTTCACATTTTATATTATTATAGATTATTATATTACCGCCTTCAATTATCCTTAATATTAATAACAAATATATAAAATGGCATTTTTATGTTGTTTTATTTATTATTTGTTAAATATTGGGTTGATTAGTATTTGAGTGCTGCATTATATCACATTAGCATATCAAGTGTTTTTATGTGTAAAAGGAACATTTGTGGATTTATAGAATGAAGTGGCATAAAATCGAAATCCTCAAGTATAGTACAAGTATTTCAAAACAATACTTAAGTATGGTACTTGAGTAAAGTTTACTTCCAACACTGGTTAGATCCATTGAATTGTGTTACATCTCAACAGGACTTGCAAAATATGAAGCCAGGCATGACTATATATCTAGTTGATAAGCATACTCTACACTCATTCTTCACTGCGATTTCAATAAAGTGGTGCCATAAATCATATAGCCTTTGATTCCTCTGCCACCTCACATTTGTGCCCAAATGGGATGACTAA